AATCAAAAGGGAATTACTTTAAATTAGGCCCTAAATAAAAATAAAGACATATGTGTCAGAATGTGTGGAATACTGATAAAACAATATTTATAGGGAAATTAAAAGGCACTAAACATTTCTGTTCCATCTCCTGGAACAGAAAACCAAATACAGCACGTTTTCATTTATAAGTGGGAGCTAAATGATGAAAACTCATGAACCCAAAGAAGGAAACAACAGACACTGGGATCTACCTGAGGGTGGAGGTAGGGAGGAGGAAGAGAAGCAGAAAAGATAACAATTGGGACCAGGAGTGGTGGTTCACGCCTATAATCCCAACACTTTGAAAGGCTGAGGTGGGCAATCACCTGAGGTCAGGAGTTTGAGACCAGCCTGACCAATATGGGGAAACCCCATCTCTACTAAAAATATAAAAAATTAGCAGGGCATGGTAGCACATGCCTGTAAGCCCAGTACTCAGGAGGCTGAGGCAGGAGAATCGCTTGAACCCAGGAGGCTGAGGTTGCAGTGAGCTGAGATCACACCATTGCATTCCACCCTGGGCAACAAAAGCAAAACTCTGTCTCAAAAAAAAAAAGATAACTATTAGGAATGATTAATACCTGGGTGATGAAATGATCTGTACAACAAAACCATGACACGAGTTTACCTATGTAACAAACCTTCACATGTACCACTAAACCTAAAATAAATGTTTAAAAATAAAAACAACAGAAATCTCAACCTTATAAAATACGGGCCACCAATGAGTCCAAGTTTCAATCAACCAAACAAGTATGAGTTAACATTTTAGATGTAAAATTTCTTGAGAATATACCCAGATCAATCAATATGATCTGATCTAGTGTTACATCCTATTCATTGGCTTAACAAATTTACAATCCATCCTCACATATATTCCCAGGATTCCATGGATATAAATTTGCAAAATTTTGCAATTCTTTTCAAGGACGAACTATTTCTAATCAGATCAGATTGTGTCCCTATATTACACAACATACAGAGATCTGGGCCTCAAGACAAGATAATAGAGGTACGTCTTAAGTGTGGATAGCCGTTTGCAAAGCAGCTGCCCTAGGTGAGGTTATTACAGGATCTTCAAGCAAGAAAAGGCTAATTTTCTCACACATGGAAAGTAAGCAGCTTCTGTCAACAATGGATGCTCAGAGTGACTGGAGTTTTTTCAAGATTCTCAACTCTGTCCATGTCTACCTACATTGTCCCCATTCCAAGTCTCAGGGTTCCACTTCTTTCCAATAAATATTCTACATGAGACACCGACAAAAGCCAGGTAATTCTATTACTAGTGTAATTAAAACTGTGTTTAGGCACCCGCCACCATGCCCAGCTAATTTTTGTATTTTTAAGAGAGAAGGGGTTTCACCATGTTGGCCAGGCTGGTCTTGAACTCCTGACCTCAAAGATCTGCCCACCCTGGCCTCCCAAAGTGCTCGGATTACAGGCAGAGAGCCAAGACCGCACCACTGCTCCAGCCTGGACAACAGAACAAGACTCTGTCTCAAAAACAAAATAAATAAAATAAAACTGTGTTCAATTTTTAGCAAGGCAAAATAAAGTGCTTTAGAACCACAGAAACTTTCTGATTCTCTAAGACTTGACCAATCTAACAGTTTGAAGACCTGACTTTGTCATTTTCTTTCTGTTAGTGCTCTGGTGAACACAGACGCCCCCATCTCACTTCCCCCTCAGTCCCTGTAGTCACCATTACTGCCATAACAGGCAAGCCCTTTAGCCACTTGGTCCTCCAGCACACTGCTTTAGAAATAATTTTATCACAACCAACCAAATATAATAATTTAATTGTGATGCCACTATATGTGGTGGGTTACTAGATTATTTCCTACTGGCAAAGAGCTAAAGAAATTACCAAACCGACCCCCAAATTCTATCTTTGAAAGTTTTCTCACCAGAATCTCATTCTTAGTGACAATTTATCAGTCGCAGTCCATGCAGGAGTCTGAAACTGCATCCGTTATTTTAACAAAAAGATTTTTATTTTTTAAGTTATCAGCATCAACAAAGAGAAATTTTAATATGAATAATGTTAATCATATGTTGAAGAACTTAAAAGGCAAACAGAGGACAGTGAGTCCCTATTTATTTGATAAGAAGTAGCAACAGCAGGAAGCAGCTATCACTCCTAGGACAAGGGAACAGAGAAAAGAGAATAAAGAAAATTATATAGTTTTGAACTTTGGAGAAGAGACTATGGAACTCAGGACTCAGATCTGAGGAAAGGATACTGGTAGCTTTAAGGGAGTGCATAAGGCTGGTTCTAGCAGAGTAGGGAACCATAAACTGGAACAAGTGGGACCCACTATTAATACCAGAGGGAGGCACTATTGTGGCAAGTGAAAGACAAGAAAGAAATCAACAGAAAGCAGCAAGTCTCTTCATCCCGTCCAGCCTTCCAGTCTCCCTCCCTTGTTGGCAAAGCCCAATAGGTAGTCAGCTTGCAAAGAAGAAATGTAGTTTAGAGTTCTGCCCTAGATTCACAAGGCAGAGGATGGTATGAAGTTTAGGTCAACAGCTTAATCAACTGCAGTCAAGAGGAGGCTGGGAGTAGTTACTGAGTCATGGTCCCTGATTATTTGAAACTGTTAAAGGGTGTAAATGGCCTTTTGGGTGTCTTTGTGCTCAGTGCCTGGCAGAAGCTATCAGAGCTCACAGAAACCATCACATGGTGAAAGAAAAATACTATACTTCCAGTTGTATGCTTCTTTGCTATTGCTATTGGGATTCCAAAAATCAGATGCTCCTGTTCTTTCTGCACTACCACACAATGCAGGTGGACGTGGTAAACAGTGGAAAGAAGCAAATGGTGAAAAACTCAGAGCAGTACTAAGGTGAAAACCATGACAGAGAAAACACATGACCAATAGGGATGGTATTATGGGAAGTTAAAACAAAGCAATGAGAAGGGTGAAAAACATGTGTATTAACTAGTTTGCCCTTCTGACTGGGGTACTATTAGAACGATGTTTTTATGAGATCTACATGGTGTCCAAGTTTTCATCATTTCTAGTCCATAAATATGTGGCCTTGCTTAAGTTTGCAAATAAACATAGTAAAAAGCTTATCTACAGGGGCAAAGCTAACTCAGACGGAGAGAATAGCTGGGTTAGGCTCAAGGTTCCTGGTTAGACCTAAATCAGGATGAAAGTGACTGGCATTTAAATGGTCTTCTGGCCTCAGCAGTGCTTAGCCCAGACTTCCAAACGTTCTACGACTCCATAGGCTTCCACTCTTATAAAAGTCTTACCCAAATGGGGTGATTTGGCAGTTATTAAATTTTCAAACCAAGTCTTAAAGCTGGCAGAGCCAGGATTTGAAACTGTCTGACTCCAAAGTCTGTCTGTTAACCACTACAAACATAAGGCTCTTGCCTACCCTCTTCCCAATACCGAAGATTGGTATCTAAGATATCTAATTAGTTGGCCTATTTAAAATAAAAATTAAAGCACATAAGGCAATTATCAACTAGTTACTATTTTCCTTAGTGGAGGAAAATTATGTTTCATTAAGAGAATAACACTAACATTATAGTCATTTAAAAATCTTGTGCTAAGACTGCTTTTCTCACATGGGCAACACCTTCCTAATTCCAATGACAAACTTTCATGTAATGAACAATAGCAATAAAATCTGATGGGTCAAGAATAACCAATTGTGTAAGATTGGTCTTTGTTTTCCAATCTTATTCTCACATACAAGTAATTTGCATTTCCAATCCTCACCCACATATAAGGCAAGGAATTCTAGGCTCTATTGCTGGTAGGGTGAGGGGCAATGCAGAAATGTCAAAACTTTGGTCACTTCCTAAAGATGGCATATGTTTTCGTAAGCTGACAAGGGCCCGTGTTCTTTATGGCAATCAAATATATGCAACCAAAGGCTATTTTAAAACTCGTTTTCCATAGCCTTCTTTATTCACTAACATGTTCTCCTCTGCCCCTCTGCTCATGCCCAGCTTGCCTTCTCTGAAATGCCTCTTCTTCCCTAATATATACATTTGACTCCATTTATTTTTCAAAATACTCATTCTCCGAAATCCAGCTCAAGTCTCTCTCTTCAACAGAGTCTTCTGTGACCTCTTCAGACTATGGCTGTTATCCACTTAGAATTGCTGTTTGATCTTTTTGTAACTATTATCTTCTCAAAGGGACTCTGGAGGCTGTGGCCTAGAAAAACTATTGTGGGTTAGTAACACAGTTTCACCTCGCTATTATTTACAAGGCTTGTCTAAACATGATACAACAGCATCTCAAGTGAGAAATTGAACCTCTAGATTAGAAGAATTGCTCAGCGGTTATCTAACAGTCCTTTCTCCTTGTCTCCAATAGGCAACTGTCCTGTCCTCGGTGTAACTTATTTCTAAGGTCTCTTCCAGCTCTAAAATTATGATTTTACAATTCTATCGACTTAAATAGTACTTCAAAAGGTTTGGAATCTACATAGAAACCATTAAACTCTCAAATGGTAACAGTTCAGCTACAAGTTACGCTGAAAGATCTGAGGCTAAGGGCTCCATTCAGGTCAGAATCACAACTATGAATCTCGCTCACTGTCCACTGATCCAGTCTGTGCACTGTAGCACAGGTAACTGACTCATTCTAAACACACAGTAGGCCCGAATCCAGGACAGAAGCCAAACGGAGAAGCACTTTCTCCCAACACCGAGGCCAAGCCCTTCCTGGCTGCTTTATCGCCTAGAAACAAAGCTGAGTAAAACACCCCAATCCGGTACACTCCAAGGTGCCCCAAACGACGCGGACCAAACGGTAATGCTGGGCAGTGACGCAGGTGCAGCGTCCACCTTGTTTTCCTCCCAGAGAAAGTCGGAGTCCGCGGCACTGGGGGACACCGGATCCCCGACGTCTTCGGGCACGCGGCCCTCCGCCTCCTGTGTCCCCTGCAGTTCGTCACGACCCCACTCCCGGAGTGTCCGCCCCTTCGTCTCTCACTCCTGGGACACTTACCATCCCAGTACCAGGCCGGTGGTCACGATGAAGCAGGTAAATACCACCGCGATGTAAAAAAGCGGCGAGTATTCATAGAGGGTTACCAGAAACACCGCAGCCATCAGGGTCTCGCTCTGGGCTGAACCCGGCTCCAGCCGCGTAGCCCAGCCCAGGCGAGCCCAGCCCGCCGGGCCAGGCAGAAAGTCACTACGGTGCCCCAGAGCGGACAAACTTTGTAGATCCGCACTCGCCTGGGGTTCTCTTGAGCTAGACTTTAGGGCAGCCTCGCGGGCAGCGGGAGCCGGTGTACCAATCACGGCGCCGCCTGCAGGACTCACCACGCCCCTCCCGCTCCCGTCCCGAGCTATTGGCTACGCAGACGTGGGGGACGACTTGCACCGTCCCGGACTCGAGAGATTGGTACCCAGCGGGCGTCTTAGGCGCTCTGGCCTAGTGGTGATTGCTGTTCTGCCGGCAAATTCTAAATAGACTTGAGGGCCAACTCTGTCCTGGCCTTGGGCAATGCAGGTTTTCTGAAATGAGAGAGACGCAGTCCGAAATTTACGTGCACCGTTTCTAAATCCTGAAACCCTACGCATTATATCTTAGGCAAACTTGGGAGGAGGGGGAGGAGGAGGAAGAGAAGGAGGGCGGGCATCTTGGGTTCTACAAAATGAAATAACCATAGGCACAGTGAAAACACAAAACAGGAGTCTCTACCGCAAGCAGTTTATACGAGACTTGTCAGCCTTTTCAGATTGGACTTAGTCTTAGAGGAAAATCAGCTTATCTAAGATTCTCTTAGAAATAAAACATCCGCTTCCTCCCTCACCCTCCTCTTTTTCTCCTTTTCTTATACTTCTCAAGTTAGCATTAGCCAAACATTTGAACCTGTATTCGTTTACACTTTAAGAATAATTTAAAAAAAAAATTTTTTTTTTTAACCACCCAGAAGCTTTTTAAAAAGTACAGAAAGTAGCTAAATGCCCACTCCCTCGTCTCAACCCCATGAGTCAGCTCCATTGAGGTGGCCTCCCTGAAAGTCTTTCATAACACTTCATTGACACCTCATTGGTTTGCATGTAATCCTAAAGCCACATCCATCTACATCAGAGAATGGGGATATGTAGTCTTACTATTTGTAAGCAGCAACACGCCCTGCTACAAATCAGAGTTTTGTTACTGAAGAAGAAAGAGAGGATGGACACTGGGGTAGGTAACTGGTAGCCTCTCACCCGCCTAAGTCACCAGTAAAATTTGTGCTTGAGAAAGAGGAACTAAGTTTATCCTATGGCCTCACATATTCCTTAGCAAATGACCACATATTCTCTGGAGCAGCACTGTTTGAGAAGCTTACTTCTACAATACAATTTTTAATTACTATATCTGACTTGTGAAAGTATATAGTTTAATCAGCCCTCAATCGTTGGACAATTTTTCATTGCTATAAATAATGCGCAATGAACATCCCTACAGCTAAAGTATTTCCTTAGGATAAATTACTAGAGATGGAACTATGGTTAAAAGAAAATGCACATTTTTAAAGACTTTGTAGAACTACTGCTCTCCAGAAATGTTGTACCAATTTGTATTCCCACTCTTTCATCGATAGTTTGCCATCATTTGATATTGTCAGTTAACAAAAATATTAGCCAATCCGAAAGGCAGTTTTATTGCAACAAAAAGGATTTCTACAATGAAATGAAAATGTAGGAAGCTCCAAGTTAAAGTGACATTAAACACATACATTGAATTTTTCTTCCTCCTCAAGTCCACTAAAACTGCAGTAAAGAGATTAAAAATGTAAATCTACAAAACAAGAACAGGAAATATAAAATAGCAGCAATATATTGGGATGATGAATAAGAATAATTCACTAACCAATATATGAAAGCCAAATCCCAAACCAGCAGCAGAGACAACTGAGACCCAAACTGATTTACTTTGAAGAATTCTCAAAAAGAGCAAGAACTAATACAAACTTAACTAGAGTCTTTATCATTTCCCACTGGGGTATCTGCTAGGGCCACTGAAACTTGTCTCTCTAGTTTCAGCATAGATTTTCCAATGTATTCTGCACAGTGATACTAAAAATGATTTTTCCACAGCATGTACTTTACTCCATTGCCAAAAACCCTTGATTGTCATGTTATATTTCCTTGAGGACGAAGTTCCCAAGGTCCTCGTGTGGCATACCCAGTTCTACATGACTTGACTTCTACTTTTCCCTCATTTACTCATTCAGAAAATGTTTATTGAGTGTCAGATATGTGCCAGACACTCTAGAAAGCAATTAGGGATACAATAATAATCAAAAAAATGACATATCCCTGTTTTTACGGACCTTAGTATCTCAGGGAAGAGATAAATGTTAACCAAAGAATCATGAACAAAATATAAAGGCAGAATTATGATATGTGTTGTTAAAAAGAGAAATATGGGCAGCCAGGCACAGTGGATCATGTTTCTAATCCCAGCACTTTGGGAGGCTGAGGCAGGCCAGTCACTTGAAGCCAGGTGTTTGAGACCAGCCTGGGAAATATGGCAAAATGCTGTTTCTACTAAAAATACAAAAATTAGCTGGCTGTGGTGGTGCATACCTGTAGTCACAACTATTCAGGAGGCTTGAGGACCGCTTAACCTGGGAGGTGGAGGTTGCAGTGAGTCTCAACTCACGGCACCACTGCACTCCAGCTTGGGTGACAAAGGGAGACTCCATCTGAGAGAGAGAGCGAGAGGGAGAGGGGGGGGGGAGAGAGAGAGAGAGAGAGAGAGAGAGAGAGAGAGAGAGAGAAAGAAAGAAAGAAAAACATGGAGCTGTGAGAGCATACAATGGGAAAAATGAGGGGGATATAATGTACAACAAGGAAACCTTCCCTGAAGAACAGATAGTTGAGAGAGAGGCAAAGGAACAGGAGGGGAGGAAGAGCATTTAGGGCAAAAGCTACAGCACATGCAAAAGCCCTGAGGTGAGAACTGAAAGACTAGTATGGCTAAAGCATAGTGAGTGAGAAGGAACAGGGTATGTTATGAAGATGGAGAGATAGGTAGGGCTCAGACCATACAGGAGTCATGCCATTTTAACTACATAAATTTACACTAAGAACAATGAGAATCCACTGACAAGATTGAAGGGGTATGTGTGACAATCTATTTGCATTTTGTAGCAATCGCTTTGGCTATTGTATGCAAAACTAATTGGAAAGAGGCTAAGGCAGATACAAGTAAATATAGGGACATTAATTAATAGATTCTTTCAAAAGGCCAGGCAAGAAATATTGCTACCTCTGATTAGCAAAGTCATCAGGAATTGCAGCACAGTGAATTATTAACTGGAAATAATTTTATTTGTGAGGGACAGAAAATCAACAAAAATAGTATCTTAATGACCATAAAAGTGTATTTCTCTCTCAAGTGAAAGTCCAGTGGTAGGCAATACAGGGCCAATGTAGTGCTGCACAGTGCAAGGGACCCAGGCTTCTATTTCTCTCTACTATTTGCAGCTTCCATTCCTAAGATCACCTCATGATCCAAGATGGCTGCTCCAGCTCCCGCCATCAGGTTCATATTTCTGTTTGCAGGGAGGAGGAAAGGGTGGGAAAATCAGACACCATTTCTATTTAAGGATACTCTAGGGACACACCATACATCCAAATTCAGCATCATGCCCACATTTAACTGCAAGCGATGCTGGAGAACACGGTCTTTGTTCCAGATAGTCACGTGCTTTGCTACACTAGAGAGTCCTATTACTTATAGATGGAGGAAAAAATTAAAAGAGAATAAGCGTCTCTGTCATAGAAGTACATAAGACTTAATGCTAGATTGGACATGGCATAGGGAGAGAGGCAGGAGTTGAGGGTTCTGGCTTCTTCCCCAAGAAGAATGGATGTCTACCTTTCACTAAAATTGGATTCTAAATCTCCAGTCTCTCACCATTCATCCTTGTTCCCCTTCCCTCATCTTCTCCTCCTTACAAACACTAATCTTAGCCCCACTGAATTACCAATCTTCTAAAACACACTAGAGATATTACAGATGTAGATTTTCAAGGCGTGAAGCTCATACTCTTTGGGTGACCCATTCCAAGAAGGTGAACATAAAATTGCAATGACAAAATTAAGCATAAGGTCATAAAAAGGGCCCAGGCAAACTTAAACTTCCTTCACACTAGCATATTTTAACCTGCACCTTTACTTTATCACCAATATTAAAAATTATAAGATGCCATGGATTTTTAGGTGTGTCCTGACTTCAGAAAAGCTAAAATTTGGAGACTGGGGAGGGGGAAGAGGACACCAATCTTTAATTTAGTGAAATGAGCCATTTGCAGATCCCAGAATTGGCCGTGCATATTACTTCCCTTGTCTGGAAAGCCCTTCTTTCCTCCCTGTCCTTCTCCTGGCTAACTTTTAGTTACCTTTAAGGACTCGGTTCTGAAACTCCATTCTCCAGCAAGCCTTCCTGTATGCTTCCAAACCCTTGCAGAGATGCCTTTTCCAAAGCAGCCAGTATGTGACTGTATGGGAGCCCTCCTATTTCTGGTGTGAGCCTCTGCTCACTCCTGTATTTAGCCTGCTAGGTACCCAACTCTCTGAGCACAGGAATGACACCTAATTAATATTTGTGCCACTAGTACCTAGCAGATGTGGGGTAGTCACATTACTGAATTAATAAAGGAATGAAAGAAGCTTTTCTCCATGAGATTATTTGGAAGCACAAAGTATCTATATTAGGGTTTTTTAAAAAAAGTTTGACTCTCAGATGAGCAGGAAGAATGGCAGTTCTTTATTATCTCTAACTGATTTAGTTTTGCTTGAAACCCCACCCTAGACCTAGCGTGGTGACTGATGCTTGTAATCCCAGCACCTTGGGAGGTCAAGGCAGGCAGATGGCTTGAGCCCAGGAATTGAGACCAGCATGAGCAACATAGTGGGACCCTGTCTCTAAAAAATTGATAAGTTAACTGGGTAAGGCAGGAGGATTGCTTGAGCCAGGGAGGTTGAGGTTGCAGTGAGCTGTGATTGTGCCACTGCACTCCAGCCTGGGTGACACAGAAAGACACTGTCTCAAAAAAAACAAAGAAAAAAAAGAAAGCAGCAAGACCAACCCTGTCTCAAAGAAAGAAGAAAAAGAAAGAACCACCCACACCCCCACCAACTATTAGACAGGGTAAAAAGAGAAGACAATGTGAGCTTAAATTTATCAATAAAAAGTATATTAGGCCAGGCATGTTGGCTCACACCTATAGTCCCAACACTTTGTGAGGC